CGGCATCATGCACGAAGCACAGTCCCATGAAGGACATTTCAGCAAGCCATGGTAGCCCGGGGAAAGGGAGATGCAACAGAGCCCAAAACCAGCAGGAGGGATCCAGCGGTAGGAGAAGAAGCAGAGAGATCACAAAGCCGCATCCTACCTGTACCACAAGCTAAAGCGGTGATGGAGCCATTCAAAGAGCCACGCAGGAAAATCCTCCCGGCACAACATGATGCCGAACCCTTGACGGGGGGCAGAGAGCTCAGCTCCAGCACAGAGCCATTCGGGGACTAAAAATAGACAACCCCCCTCCCTCCCCAGCGTGTCACTTGAGATCCCAGTGTGATGGGTCCAGAGAGGGCAGAGCCATATATAGAAGCTGGCAGGGAAGACACGAGGGTGCTGGCCAATACATTTCAGTCCCACAGCCTCTGGGGTCTCTGGGGCCATTCCTGATGCCCCACTGCTCTATTCTGCTTGGGGTTGCTCTGTGGGTCCAGGCCCTGGAGCTTACAGCCTTTAGCACGAGCCATGGTATCTTGATGGCAATGAGAGGGTTACAGGGGAAGTGCGTGGTGGGTCAGCAACCAGGGCCAGAAATAGCGTCCAGCTCCTGTGAGACCCGGAGCCAGCCTCCCACTGCATGCCCTCCCCTGTCCCGTGGCCAGAAATAGATGCCCTGAAGTAGCCGCCTACAGCACAGTTGCCCGTGAGCATGAGCACAAGCCCAGCTCCAGGCCCTGCTGCCCAAGAGGGGGTGACAGCACTGCCCTGAGGCTCTGGCCACCCCTTGGGTCACCAGGCTGCTGCAGACTGGAGATGGCCAAGGGGACCCATGTGCTCTGCAACCATCTCAGTGGTCCTTGACAGGTCTGGGGTGCCAACCCTGCTAAACTATGTGCTCAGGGGAGCCAGGGACCAGCACCCAGCTCCTGCCCTACAGGTTGGGGGGCAGCAAAGCCCCTTCCCAGGCCCCACCATCCTGTGGGAAGGAAGCTCCCCGTGGTGGCTGCCTTCCCACGCTGCACTGCCGGGGAGCGGGCCAGAAGCGTGCATCCCACCAGCAGCTGGAGCTGAAGTGCACTGTCCCATGCCACTGGTAAATACGGACCAGGACACGCTTCCTTTCTCTGTGCTCCAGGCTAGGAGCTTGTTGAGCTGAGAAAATATGGAAGGAAAGAGGTCTGCTGTCTTCCCGTCCTATCTAATTACTGATCTGGCTACACCCTTCTCCTTCTCCCCCTCACACGCGCTCGCAGACGCAGAAGGGCGGACCAGGGCACGCTTCCTTTCTCCGTGCTACAGGCTAGGAGCTTGTTGAGCATATGGAAGGAAAGAGGTCTGCTGTCTTCCCATCCTATCTAATTACTGATCTGGCTACACCCTTCTCCTTCTCCCCCTCACACGCGCTCGCAGACGCAGAAGGGAAACCAACTGGCTTCCTTTTCTTGGCTGCAGTCGACTTCCTTCCCTTTGAGTCCGGCAGCCGGGATTAGTCAGAGAAACCTTTAAACTCTGCCTTGCAAACCGCAGCAGAGAACATAAAAGCGGCAGAGGCAGCGAGACGGAACTGGAAGCCAGCGGCGGGCTGGCGGCCCGCGTTATCAGTATCACATTTAAAACCAGCGCTGGAGCAGCCCCACACCAAACCCAACAGGAACTGCACACACCCCACCGCACGTCCCACCCCGGCCGCAGAGACACAAACAAGTCTCGGCGCAGGAGACATCCAAGTATTTATGTAGCTGGCCAGGGTGAAGCCCACACACCGTCCTTGGGGAAATCACGCATCTGCTAGCGCTTCCCTGCCTTTCTCGGGAAGGGAGGGCCAGAAAAGCGCAGCGTGGACCTCAAGGGCAAGGCACGCTGAGCCCTGCAGAAGGGGCGTTATGCATCTGGACACACCATCTCCAATTACTTTGGGGCGTGTGGTGCGTGATCTCGCACCTCTCTGGGATCCCTGGCTCTGCAGAGGAGCTGATGCCCCATGCTGGGATGCTTGATGCCAGGTTGGGATGCTGCAGGGCTGCTCCAGCACCTCTGGAGCAATGCGATGGGTGGATGCCACCTGCTGAGCCATGGGCAGGCGAGCACAGGCCTCCTCAGTACCTCCCAGCACCTCCAGTATTGGTGCTTTGGTACTAAGGGCATTATATAAATAACTAATGTCAACGTGTAATTAGAGAAGGGCCTGAAATAAAGCAGCAGATGAGGCCTCTCTCTGCCTGGTGACACAGGACACAGCGTGGGAGAAAGAGCCTGAAGCAAAGGGATGGAAAAAGAAGCAAGAAAACTGGGAATGTCATGGAGGGGGCTCTTCCTTTGCCATAGAGACCCCTTTTGTGGCTTCAGGCTCCACCATCATCACTGCCAGTGTAAAGGGACTTGAACAGACTGTCAGGAGGGAAAGGAGCTATTAGAGCTATATGGATGAATAAGAGAAGCAATTTCCTACCCAGGAAACTCTTTTTTTGGGAAAATTCTACTCTTAGAATCAGCACTAGAATGGGGGTTTTGGTCGAATTCACTGCCAAGACAACACAGACAATGCAGAGAAATGCGGGTCTGATTACAAACACATCCTCTCTGCCCTGATCCAGGCCCATCACGTGCTGTGTGTTAGGGGAGGAAAGAGCGATGAGTTTGCAGGAAAAGCAATGGAAAAAAACCTCAACAAAACAAACTAATGAGAAGAGAAATATATCCACAGCTTCAGGAGCAAGACTACATTGGCCCTTGCTGCTTCCCACTGTCAGACAGCTCTATTTGTGGCCGTTTTCTCATGCCTTCTTCCGCTTTGGCTTGATCATCATCCTTCATCCTCAGTCACAGATCCAGCGTGACCTTATCTGTCCATCTCTGGCTGATCCCTGGACTCCGCTCTTCTGCTCGCACAGCACCAGCCGTTGCATCTTGTGATGATGGTCTGATTCATTTCTCCCCTTCCATGCATAAAAAAAGGCCCGGAGATAGCTCTACCCTTCCCATCCAGGAGCAGGGAATGCTGAGCTGCTCAGGTATGGCTCCAACCTTGCCCTGCTCACAGCCATGAGACCTCCCTCGTGACGGGGAGCGAGAAAATGGGGAATTTAGAGCTGCTCCAGAGTCTGGCACTAACAGTTACTCCATGCTGAGGAAGGGGTTAAGTCTCTATTGAAACTCAGAGTGCAGTGAAGCTGTAACCACCAGTCTGGTTTTGCTGGTTTGGGGGCAGGTGAGTGGCTAAGAATTATCACCCCCAAACCATAAGAGGTCTGCATTGTTTTTGCCTAAACCCTTTAACCGATTGGAGGGTTTTTTTTTTGTTTGGTTGGTTTTTTTATTTTTTTTTTTCCCTGAAACTCACTCCCCAGGCTCTCTTAAAATTCAGGCCCATGCTTCCCCAGCAGCCAGCAGCGGGCTCACTCAAAGGTCAGCCTGAGCCGCCTTGAAACTCAGCCCGCGCTCGCCTGAAACTCTGCCAAGCTCTTCCAAAAGCCTTGTATCCTGGCTTGAGTTTCGGGTTGCTAATCCAAGTCTCACTGGGTTTCAGGTTTCCCTGCAAGCTTTGGCTTTCCTCTACACAAGAATAGCCTCTGGCTGCATCTACTTTGCTGGCTGCACCCTTCCCGTTGGTGGCAGCGGGCAGCAACCTCGAGTGTCAAAAATCCCCCAGCCCAGGGGCTGTGGGGCACCGTCCCCTGCCCCAGAGGACCCCGCAGGATGAGCTACAGCCATGGGAGCCACAGGAGCCATTGCTGGACAGGCAAGACCTGCACTGGCACGAAGCACAGCAGCACAAAATTAGCCCACCACGTTGTTTTAATGTGAAATATAGCACAGCAGTACCGTGGCTGTAGTGGTTTTGGCTCGCAATGAGCAGCCATAAAGGCAGATGACCGCTGTCATGTCAGCCATCTCGCTTTTCACATATCTCACTAATGTCAGACAAACCAAGCATGCCAAACTCTCTGATATGCCTAGACAGATAGAGCGATGCTATTTTTTTATACAAGTCCTGAAAATAGGCGGCTGGGCTGAAGCTCCAGCTCATAGGAATCAGAGTTTCACCACTGAACCCAACAGGATCAGTGTTTTACCTGTGGAACTCATTTTTCCTGCCATTTCCACTAGATGTCACTTACAGCCAGAAAGTTAGCGGTTTCCCTAGATTTTCAACCTGATAAACAGGTTTATGCTAATCCTGAAACGGGGGTTTAGATGAGCAGGACATTAGGACCGTAATGGTATGAGAGCAGTCGGGCTCTCGGGCTGTAAGGGAGGTCTGCAGGGGAAGCTAACATCTGCTGCACATCCCGTCCAGATGTGGTGCCTCCAGGGAAAAGGAAAAAGCCTTGTTCCACCTCCGCTTCCTCCTGAAGCAGCACTGGATGGGATGGGAGCAGGTGAGATTGGGCCTCTTGCTGCTGGGATCCAGCTCTCTGCAGAACAGATGCCACTGAATCAGCTACTTTCAGCTCGCCCCGAAAGGTTTAACCAGCTATTTATAAATCTCAGCCAAAAAAGAGTGGTATTTTGGGCCATCCCAGCTGGGGATGAGGAGGTCCTCACCACCATGTGGTGAAGGCATAAAGCAAAACTCATTGGAGCATAAGGTGGTGCCTTGGGCCACCTCTTTGGTGTTGGTTTTCTCCTGCATCCTCTGTCGTGACATGAGGGAGAGGGGCTGCTTTGGGTT